GAAGATACTTCATATCTATGTGTTAGATGAAAGTGACTACAAACTCACTTGATTAGACGATGCTCGGACAGGACTACGACTCTTCAAGTACTATTCTTTTGATGTAACCGGGATATCTTCACACACCGGGCTTCTCGCGGGCAGAGCTTCGACTTAAAACTCTTTTTTTCTCGGGATCTTCGGAGCGTCGGGACTCGCTTCGGGTATCGGGGATGATACCGGGACTTCGGGGGGTTAAAAGATGGGTAGAGAGGGTATAGAGAGTGAGAGGATGAGTGAAGTAGCAACCAAATCCGGTTGCCCTCGGCTTCTATTTATAGGGCTGGATTTTCGATATTCACGTCGTGAACAACAAGTTCACGTCGTGACTTCAGTCGTCATCAGGTGCGTCATCGCAACTTGGGTCAGTCAGGCTCTAGGAGACGTCATCTCTGAGTTCACGTCGTGAGCTCTGACACAGTGTCGGGGTTCGTGCCCTGAACTTCAGAAATTCATATCTTTCGCATACGAGCTCCGTTTTCGACGTTCTTTATATCCACGCATAGGTGAAATTATGTTCTACAACTTTCATTTAGACTCCGTCGGGTAGTTTTGACTTCGTTTTTAATATTATATTTTTAGTAGGCCGGGACAGGAAAAGACCGTTAGAAATTCATAACTTCTTCATTTGACGTCCGTTTTCGTCTGTCTTTTTACCGTTGCACTACTATTAACGAGATCTTCGATTCTCGTTTAGATTGTTTCGGCTAGAAATCACTCGATCTAAATATCGAGTTTTGGGCTGCATACTGCTAAGCTGAAACTTAGAAAAATCATAAATTCCTCATACGAAGTCAGATTTGGACGTTCTTTTTATGCACACTCTTGGTTTAACATATTCTACGACTTTCATTTAGATCGCTAAGGCCAAATATCGCTCTATCGTAAATTCACTATTTACGTTGCATAGTGTCGTGTCGGTTCTGTCGTGAAACTTCGACATGTCATAACTTCTTCGTTATAACTCGGATTTCGGCATTCTTTATAAATCCGAAATCCTTGTCACGAACACTACAACTTAGTTAAGATTATTCATTCTAAATAATCTTCTATCAAAAAGTCATTTTTGACGTTTATCGTCTCTAAATTGACTAGCCCTGATCTGCAGGCGTTACAGCAAACCAGACAATTATCACAAAGACAATCATCTTATCTATAATCACCTACTAGTAGGCCAGCATTGGTGCCTTAGACCCACTTCTACTGGAAGGTAACTCACCTCAATGTCGTGAAGTAGCTAAACTGTCCTCGGCTCTGAAATAAACTCCTACACATAAAAATCTCCTTTAATTACTCTTTCATACCCATAACCCTATTAAGGGTCAACTCTGGTCAAAGTCAAAGTCAAGGTCAACTTCCTGGTCAAAGTTAACATCCTGGTTGACTTAACTTGTCGAGTTGGTCCATCAACTCGTCGAGTTCCATGATCCATGAAACCCTGGAAATCTCGATCCAACTCGATGAGTTCTTTATCAACTCTTCGAGATCCTCGTATCCATGATATCGAGACATTTCAACCCAACTCGTTGAGTTCCCTTATGGACTCGACGATTTCTTCAGTCTGTTGAGTCATCTTAATAGATTAAGCTCCTATCCTTCATATCCAAACTCCATACTTCAACCACATACTGTATATGCCCTCTTAAGGGTAAAGTTTCCAACTTTACCCGTTAATAGTCCTTCTTAATGGGTTTAGCTCAAACCCTAGTTCTTTAAGACTTAGATCTTGGTCCAAAAGTCATAATACTCCAAACCAAAGCATGAAAACTGAGATCTAGGCCCTAGACACCAGATGAACACGTAAAGTCTCAAACTTTCCTTCCATGCATGGCCTTTTGGGGCTTAAAAGGCCAAAATGACACCTTAAAGCTTGTATGGGGCTTCCATGGTCATAAAGTTTGTACCTTTATGCCATGAAACCCCTTGTAGAACCCAGATCTGAAAGGTAAATCACTTGGGACGTCCATTTCCCAAGGACTAAGCTACTTGGACCAAAAACTCAACAAAAGTGGAGATGAAGAGATCTAAGAAATCATTAAGCAAGTTTTAGACTTGTTTACCCAAAAATGTTGCAAATGGAGTGAAGTTGTTGGATCTACTCTCTTCTTCTTGAGTCCTCTAACTTCCTCTTCTTCCACAAGCTTCAAAGGCACAAGTTTTCTCTCAAAAAGGTCTCACAAGCTCACACAAGGCTCTAGGGTTTTGTGGCTAGGGTTTTGGGACTTTGGAGGCTGTAAATGAGGACAACCTTTGGAGGATAAGGTGTTTAAATAGGGGTGCAAAACCCTAAAAATTAGGGTTTCACTCTAGCCGCCCTACTCGTCGAGTTGAGGCTCTCAACTCATCGAGTAGACTTCAAGTCTCGCGTCCAAATTCCATTCCCACTCGACGAGTTTGGGCCTCAAACTCGTCGAGTCCCCTTTCAAGAATGAATAATTTGATTTAAGTTATATACCAGGATCCGGGCGTTACATTCAAATTGTATTATTCAAAGTTCATTGCCATCTTTTGTATTTCATCTGCTTTGTTGAATCTTGATGCACTAGACGAAGATACTTACTTATTCGTTTTATGCCTACCTATCGGACGGACCATTTCCTCGAGTTCAATCCGTCAGCATCATTCAAGTCTTACCCGACACGAGCATCTGTGGAAATTATGTAACTTGTCTAAGATGTTTTATTCCTTTTGATGCAACAATTTCTTTTTCTACCTCTAGCCATTTCGGGCTACACGGTAAAACTTTCCAAAACTCGATATATTGGAATGTCTTCCCTTAATTTTCCAACCGGTGTATATTTAGTGTCTTATCAAAAATGTCTTCATTATTTTGTCCATTTTCGTGTTATGTTTTAAGTTGTTGTATACCCGTTGACCTTTGTAACTATCTTATTCACGTCTCGATACTTGATTGTCAACTGTTGTGTTGTATGTTACTCACTTTGACACATTTCATTATGAAAACGTTATGTAACTCGTCTCAAAAATGATAATTCACTTGCATATTTTTGGTATTTGACTCCTACGATATGTCAACCTACGAACAAGTCAACATGATTTTCTCCTTCGAAGACCAAATTTGAGCGCGTTGCTTTCATTTTTCCTTTGAGTTAGGATAGTTCAGCAACAGGTTTTAGTTGGGTTTCAAGGATGTCTTCAGGTGAGGGTTGCGTTTCTAGAATAAATTCGACTTTTGGATCAAACGGGGTTGTGTTTTGGAACGTATTCGGGAAGAGACGAGAAGTTGTTAAATAAGTTTGCGGTAATGGTTGGAACAGGATAAAATTCTTACATATTTTAAAATTGAAAATTGGTGGGTGAAAAATACGGGAGTTTATATTTTATTAGTAAAATGGTATTGACGGATTGAAAGTAAATTTCTAGGTGTGCTTGAACTAGTAGCATGTGATTTGTTTCGACAGGATCTTGTGTTAAGGTTGTTAGGAGAATTGTTTGAATACAATTAGATTCAAAAAAAAAATTTTGATTTTAGAAGGATAATAGAATGTCTGAATTTGAAGGTCAAAAATTGGTATTTATAGCATGATTGTTAAGATCCTGATCTTGATCTTCAAATTTTACAATTTTAAGATCCTAAAAGCCTAAAACAATCTCGGTCTCACTATGATTTATTTAAAGCAAGATTTATAGTGAGATTTTAAGATCTCAGCTAGGATCTTAAGATCTTAACACGATTTGATCTCACCTTTCTAATTTTGTTATATAGTCGAGCCTCAAAAAATCATATATTCAACTTGAAATCAAGCATCACAAGTTTCGAAAAGCCTTATAGAGATTCACAGAGTCATTTCGAATCAGGCAGATCATACTCATGATGTCTCATTTGTGATCTTAAGCTTTTAGTTGTACATAACCATAATGATTTTTTTTTCTTTTGCATTTAAGATGTTTACTTCCTAATTTTTACGGTTTGTAACAACAAAAGTTATGGTTTATGTTTAAAAAGTTAAAGTTAACTCAATACCCACATCTTAATCAACATCAAGTTATAATGTAAATTGCACATCCAATACCTTACAAACAAATTTGAATATTAATTCATTTTGGTAGGATCTTATGATCTCAATTTGATCTCTTACGATTACAATCTTTCAAAACATAAAACGATCTTAGGTAAAATTTCAATCTTAACAACCTCGATTTATTGAATGGAAAAAAAAATTAAAAATTAGAAAACTAACCTAGGGGTGGGAGTGAAAAGAGGCAAAGGGTGCGTATATTTGTTTCTCGGGGTGGTACTCACCGCAGCCAACACGCCAACGGGTGTGGGGTTAAAATACCCACCGCGATGCCGGGTGACACTAACTGACAACCGTAACGATGATGGCCCATCCGCCAATCTAAATGGATTTGAATCCAATTTTTATCGGGTTTGAAAAACCTATTCTGGATTAAATTGTTATTTTGTTATTTTTTAAATACCTTAAAATGTTGCCTTTTTATAATACTAAAGTCATAATTGTAAATATCCCCACAAAAAAATAGTAGATTTTGTTGCACAATTATTGCAGAAAATGAAGTTTATATATATTTAAAGAAAAAAAAAAAGTAAAACAACGAAACAGTCGATGTCATTGAGTTGAAACGTGGCAGAGAGAATTCCAAGTAGAAAACCCTACCAAAACGGCCTCTTGACCGGTCTTTGTCACTCATTTTAAAAAATCACCAACACGTCGTTTTACTTTTACACAATCAAAACGCCACCTCATCCACAAATCTCCACGGACACGTGTCATCTCTTAAGCTCACCTCCCCCACCTACAAATCTCCCCAACCCCCCACCTCAGATTCCACCGTAGCTCCGTCGTCTCTATATATCATTATCATATTCACACTCACAAACACATACATATCGCCGGAATATCTCCAGCATTGTTGATTGAATACGCCCTGCGTCATTTCTCCAACTTCGATTTCAATTCTGTTACATGCTTTTATCCATGACTTTAGTGAAAAATTCTGTTAAGGATGCCGTTTCCGTGAACGCTGCAGTGGCCGGAGATTTCCGAGATCGGACAACGATGACGACGTTGAAGGTTTTGAAAGAGATCGAAACGGATCAGGAAAGTAACGCATCGTCCTCGGAAGATATGGAGTTTTACTCTCCGAAGTCGGTTGTCGCGAAGAAGTGGCCGGTGACGACGAAGGAGGTTAATGTTTCCCGCGCTCGCGTTCATGATCCGATTGTGAGGATTAGAACAGAGGATTCGCAGATCGGAGAAGATATTGGCGAATGTTTTTGTAAGTTCGATCGCTCCGGCCACAATCGCGTAGATGTTGTTGTGACATTCTCCAGGCCGGCTTCGCCTCTCAGCGGGAAGACATCGTCGCCGTCGATCAAAATCGAGCACTGAATCCGCCGCATGTTCGTCCTTTTTCTCTATCTGAATTCTCATACACCGTGTATATAACTATAATATGTCATATGTGCTTCGATCATGAATATGTTTTGTGCCTGTGCATCTACGACTGTAATTAAGCTTGTGTAGTTTGATCAGAATCATTTCATAAGTATTTTAGATCTGAAATTCTCCTTTATGTTCAAATTTTAGTTCGTGTTGAATTCAAATCTCCACATATGAGATTGAATCTACTGCTAGTTTGCCAGAATTAGAAAAATCCGCCACTTGATTCCATTATTCCTATTGTTAATTCTACGACCAATTGAATCTATATTCATGTTTCATTCCTCTATTGTTGTTGGTTTACACAGTGCTTTTTGATGATCATCCCAGGTGAAGATATGCGAGCAGGAAGCTAGGGAGACACCATGAAATAGAGAGTTTTAGATTTTCTTCATTAGTTCGCGAAATAAAGTATGTAGAGAGTGCAGAGCAGGTTTTTTCTTGTACAGTGAAAACTCAGAAAGTATATAAAGAGCCCTCTCTCTTTGATATAATCATCAGTTCCTTTTTGTTTCTCAACTGCTTTTCTACCTCTTTGATTAAATTTTATGCTTTGAGACCCAATGAATTACTAATACTTTCAATAGATGCAGGAAAGCAGATGATCATGGAACCAGGTATTTTTTTAGAGTAGTTCATGATTAAATAAAAATATGGTCCTTAAAGGAACCCAACAACTTGAAAAACCTCAAGAAAATTAAAATTGAAGTTTGTTGCTGCAAGAATAGTAAAAAATCAATACTTTGGGTGAACATGTTGGAAATGATTCTTTAATTTTAGGCACTTCTTCACTTCTTCAAGAGTGTTTACACTTTAGTGGTTACAAAAACATAAAATACAATCAGATTTAATAAGGATATATAAGTCAGTATTAAAACAAAAACAGATTAATATTAGTTTGGAATCTCATAATTTTAACCGTTCAAAAAGGAAAACATATTAATTGTAGGAGTTCAGGAGCCTTAAAAAGACACTTTATGCCTTATGGGTGGAATTACTCTAGAATGAACAAAATTTGGAAAAGTCTTGGCACTAATTCTCGGTCAAATCGAACGTCAAGTAACGAGTTGGTTTGCTTAATGGGCACTCCCACTACTAGTCAATTCAGATATTAATCATGTCCAAACCCAATCAAGCATTGGTGAGAATGTAGGTGATAACCTTTTAGAATAATTACATTTTATGTCAATAGATGTTTCAACATTCCATCTAACACTTCAATAACACCTTGATGTTTAATCTCGTAGTTTGGCTTTAATAAACATTTAACACTTGTAAATTGATTCAAATAAAAAGGTAGGTATCTCCACTTAAATATATGTCACATTGAATTAAAACAAGCAAGACACCATTTGTATTCAAATTCACGACATTACATAAAACAACAAAACAAAAGTCATAAAAGCAACCAATGAGCCCATTGGTTTTGTAAACAAAAGCTTACTTTTACTGCTAATAATAATTCATAACCTAATTAATACTCATCCCCTTCATCTTCTTCCCCATCAGCAGACTCAAGCCCAACTTCCTCATAATCTTTCTCAAGCGCAGCCAAATCCTCTCTCGCCTCACTAAATTCACCTTCCTCCATTCCCTCACCCACATACCAATGCACAAACGCCCTCTTCGCATACATCAAATCAAACTTATGATCGATCCTGGAGAACACTTCAGCCACACTAGTTGAATTCGAAATCATACAAACAGCACGCTGTACTTTAGCCAAATCACCACCGGGAACCACCGTCGGAGGTTGGTAGTTGATTCCGCATTTGAATCCAGTCGGACACCAGTCTACGAACTGAATCGTTCTTTTGGTTTTGATGATCCCCACGGCGGCGTTCACGTCTTTTGGGACTACGTCGCCTCTGTACATCAAGCAACACGCCATGTATTTTCCATGGCGTGGGTCGCATTTTGCCATCATGGATGCTGGTTCGAAGGCGCTGTTGGTGATTTCGGCGACGGAGAGCTGTTCGTGGTAGGCTTTTTCGGCGGAGATGACTGGAGCGTATGAGGAAAGCATGAAATGGATTCTTGGGTATGGGACTAGATTGGTTTGGAACTCGGTCACGTCGACGTTCAAAGCACCGTCAAATCGGAGGGATGCTGTTAGAGATGATATAACCTGCAAATCGGGAAGAAAATTTAAAATTTTGAAATCGGAATCTTTTCTGTCATTCGGATTCTCATAGGAACTTAATCGAGTACCTGGGATACGAGCCTGTTGAGATTGGTGTAGGTGGGGCGTTCGATGTCGAGAGATTTACGACAGATGTCGTAAATGGCTTCGTTATCGAGGAGAACTGAGACATCGGTGTGCTCGAGGAGAGAGTGAGTGGAGAGAACGGAGTTGTATGGCTCGACTACAGATGTGGAGACTTGTGGTGAAGGGTAAACGGTGAAACCGAGTTTTGATTTCTTTCCATAGTCGACTGATAACCTTTCCAGAAGCAGAGAACCCAGACCAGAGCCGGTTCCACCTCCGACGGCGTGAAAAACAAGGAACCCTTGGAGACCAGTGCAGTTGTCTGCTAGCTTCCGGATCCGATCAAGGCACAGATCGACAATCTCCTTACCAACTGTACGATTAAATGCATCAAAGAGATAGATCTCCTAAGTGTTCGACAAAATGCCTCATAGATTTTGAATAGTTAGATGTACTTACTTGTGTAATGACCTCTTGCGAAGTTGTTAGCAGCGTCTTCTTTGCCGCTGATGAGTTGTTCTGGGTGGAAAAGTTGTCTGTAAGTCCCTGTTCGGACCTCATCGATGACAGTAGGTTCCAGATCTACAAACACCGCCCGGGGAACATGTTTACCGGCGCCGGTTTCACTGAAAAACGTGTTGAAGGCGTCGTCTCCACCTCCAACAGTCTTATCACTAGGCATTTGACCATCAGGCTGCAAAAAGTATCAAATCAAGAAGAAAATTAGATCATAGCTCAATAACTAATCAAACACAAAGCAGAACACCAGATCTAAAAATTATACAAACAGAAAACACATAGTTATAGAACTTCAAACAATTTCGAGCTCAGATCTCGAAAGTGAGGAAGAAACAAGTAATTTTCGGTACCTGAAGGCCATGTTCGAGGCAATAGAGCTCCCAGCAAGAGTTTCCGACTTGGATTCCAGCTTGACCAATGTGAATCGAAATGCACTCTCTCATTTTCGGAAGATTTTTAGGGCAAATTTGGGGATAATATTAGAAAAGGGGTAGTGATATTGTAGGGTTTGTTGTTATTTATAGATAAAAGCTGTTTCAATTTTAAACGGGCGAGAAATTAAAGTGGCTCCAAATACGCAGCTTTTTGAAATTTGAAATGGCTTGTAGCTGGCTTTTTTTTACCGTTATTACTTTTTGAAATATTTTGAATTTAGAATTTCTTATGGTGTGATTTACTGATTTAGGTCGACATTTTGGGTTTCATTGAGCCCAAATTTAGGTGGGTTGGACTATTTAATATTGCTTTTTACAAAATAAGAAAATTAGATGGGCAGATTGCAGAAGGCCCGGTCCAGTCATTCGGGTCAGGCCCATTGTGGACTAGTTCTGGTATGAGAAGGTCCGACCGGTTAAACTGGTCGACAGATATTTTGAATCTGCAATGGTCAAGAATGTTCACTATTGTTTATTTTACCATTTTGTGATTTTTTAAATATTTTTAGACCCAACCACTTATAGTCCTTTGATACCTTTTTGGCATTTGCTTATTCATTTTGCCATTGAAGTATGTGTAGAAAATATGGATCGAAATTTCAAACATTATCATGGTGATTGAGATGTGGAGTTCTGTAAAATACGTTAGTGTTCAAAGCTTGATGGGCCTGTGTGTGTGTGGTGGTGGTGGTGATAGTTTTTCATGGTTTATCCTCATGAGCTCGGGAGGTGTTCAACATGTGTCATCCAAAAGTTGTGGTATATCATTTTTTTATGAAATAGGGGTGACGTGGTATGTGTATACCCCAAAAAACATAAGTGAAATTGTTTGTTTCAACATAAATTAAGACAATGTCTAATTAATCTCGATATATTTTGTGTAAAGATAGTGTCGTCAAATCTTGAGAGCTCCCAACTCCAAATTGTGCGTACCTAGTCTCGTGCGGCTTCAACTGCCTGGAAGCATACGCAATAATCCTACTTCGTTGCATGGGCACCACCCCCAAACCTGTAATCAAAGCATCACAATATGCCACAAAATCTTCAACATCCTCTGGAATGGTCAATATTGGGGCTTCACAAAGTCTCGGCCTCAAAATCTCAAATGTAGTCTGCTGCTCATCCCCCAGCGAAAATCTACAGTCTTCTTCGTCAAGCGAGTGAGAGGAACAACAATCTTAGAGAAATCCTGGATAAACCTCCGATAATAACCTATCAGCACAAGAAAACTTCGGATCTCAGATGGAGACTCCGGGACCTCTCAATGTATAACCGCCTCAATCTTGGTCGCATCGACCATAATCTCTTTCTGATTGACGAGGTACCCTGGTGGTTGTTGAGACCAACAAAATAAATAACCCTAAATTTTGTACACTAAAATATTGTATAGTGACTGTAAAGGAATCGTATCCACGGAGATTGGTTCAATTTTATAATTCTATGAAAATCTCTTTGTAAAAATACTTGTAAAACGACAATAAAAGTAAAAATGGGGGGTTTTGATATTTTGAAATGTTTAAAGAAAATTAGAATTAAACTAGAATTTAAAGACACAATTTAAAAAAAGCAAGAGTTTGATGTAAAATCAATAAGAGAAAGATGGTTGACTTAAGGTTTCCTCACTGGAACATTTGGTGAACATATCATTAGAACCCAATAGTACAATACTTGTTTTAAATCTATAATTTGGTTACTGTAATCCAAGAAGCTTGAGATTACATAGACTTTTCTTAGTTAATAAAATAGCTAGAGAAGCTCATAACATATTTCCTTAGCTAAAGTCACAATTTCCATTAAGCATGTAATTAGTGAAAATCAACTAGCATTAGGAACCAAAAAGTCATCAAATCCAAGAGGAGTCAAATGCTCTCACTACCATGTTGGAGAAAATGTTTTTGTGATTGTGTGAAGTGAAAACTAACACAAGAACCACTTATTACTTGCTAATTTGAAGATCCATTACTTAATCAAGAAATTAACTAATCACTACAAATACATTTAAACTCATGAATAAAAACATACAAGTAGCAAGAAGATGTTAAAACATAAAACCTTCTCATAAAGATTCAAGAAAAAATTCATAGAGTTCTTCAACATTCAACCAAATATTCAAGTGATTCACCAAAATCACCCAAGATTAGTTTAGCCTAGCATGGCTAAACTCCAGAAAACAAAGTGGGGGTAGATTATACCAAACATATAGCAAGAATCAAGAGCAAATAGATGATGTTTTTGATGTGTTCTTGGCCTTCAAAATGCTCCAAAATCTCCAGAGAAACCTACAAATTACGGATGTGTAGAAGTGTGCAAAAGATTGCAGATGACCGCACTGTGAGTGCTGCGAGGGTGTACCAGGA